ATACAGCTTCCAAATTCTTTCTAATTTGTTCACTGACATTCCAAGATTCGCTGCCAGACAGCTTCCAAATTCTTCCTAATTTGTTCACTGACATTCCAAGATTCGCTGCCATACAGCTGGCAAATTCTTCCTAATTTGTTCACTGACATTCCAAGATTCACTGCCATACAGCTGGCAAATTCTTCCTAATTTGTTCACTGACATTCCAAGATTCGCTGCCATACAGCTTGCAAATTCTTCCTAATTTGTTCACTGACATTCCAAGATTCGCTGCCATACAGCTTGCAAATTCTTCCTAATTGGTTCACTGACATTCCAAGATTCGCTGCCATACAGCTTGCAAATTCTTCCTAATTTGTTCACTGACATTCCAAGATTCGCTGCCATACAGCTGGCAAATCAAAAATGCACATGGTTATTTTGATGTTCTGAAGATGAATAGCATTGGAAAATTGGTACAAGAGAATATTGGGAAATTTTCAGTGTAGCAAAAGTAGTGAGTGAGGGAATTTATCATCACACCTCTTGAAATAACCTAGTAAAATTGAATATTTCTAACACTTCACACCACTATAACAGCATTGGTTACAAGATCACATTTTTTCGTATTTTCCTTATCTTCAGTACATTATTAATTTTCCAAACATAGCAAATAGCTTAACAGTTTACAGTGGATTATAAAATAATGTATCATTCCAGTAAACACAGTTTTCTCTGTTGGTTATGTAATATTGTTGTTATTTATGGTATAGATTCTTTAATGAGGAATATTAATGGTCCAGTAATCTTGATGAACATTGTAGTTGTTATAGATCTGTAAATACAAATATTGTTGTCTGTAAAGATTTTAATATTGAATATGATGTCAGAATCTAATAGACACCGTTGATAGACATATCCACCCACAGCCTTTCTGCCTCATATACTTTTACTTTCAATTAGTTGTGACACATATGATTTTCCATGTCATGATGTCACACTGCCCAGCATCTTCTCTATCAGTCTACCTCTGCCTCTGTCCTTTTTCGCCCTGCAACTTCCCTACTGTCTGTAACTTACTTCAGTAACATTTTTTTTTAAAGGTTATGTTCCATAAATATTGAATATTGAAACCGGAAATGATAGTTATTTTGGATTGGGTAAAATCCATTAATCGTCATTATTGTAAAGGATCGGGGCCACGTTAGCGCAGTCGATAGAAGGCTTGCTTTCAAATCAAGCTGCGACTCACTGCAGCCCACGGCTGGTGTTCGAAACCAGGCGGTTCCCAGGGTTCACCCAGCCTCAAGGAAATGGGTACCAGAGTTAACAGTCTGGGATAAATAGAGGAACGTCGCTGTAGCTATGGAGTTACGTGCAGACGGCAGCACAGGCGGACAGTTTCTTATCAGCTGTCCGTACTGGTGGCAAAGCACTTATAGTTTATAACCATGTGCAATGACCCTGGTTCACTTCTGCCGACTTTTTTTATTGTGAAGGATCAAATCTGTAAATATTGTAGTGATTTTAGAGGGAGCTGCAAGGGGGGGGGGGGGGGGGGGGGGGGGGGTATAGCATCTAGACACTAGCCTGCAAAGTGGAAGGTTGTGGATTCAGGGTCTGACAGAGCTGGACCTTTTCTTTAAAATGACCCTTCCTCCCAGGTATTAAAGTCCTGGGAAGTAAAGGAGACTGGCATGATGATAATCACATCATCCACCAAGTCTGATTATTCTATGAAATTTAAGTCTAACCTTATATGCCCAATACACCTGAAGGCATGGAAAAAGAGTCCTTTACTTAGTGTAGTTATGGATCTGTAAATGTGAATATTATAGTAGGTAAAAATCTAGAGATATTGGATATTATAGTAGGTAAAAATCTAGAGATATTGGATATTATAGTAGGTAAAAATCTAGAGATATTGGATATTATAGTAGGTAAAAATCTAGAGATATTGGATATTATAGTAGGTAAAAATCTAGAGATATTGGATATTATAGTAGGTAAAAATCTAGAGATATTGGATATTATGGTAGGTAAAAATATATAGATATTGAATATTATGCTAGGGAAAGATATACAAATATTGATTATTATGGTCGGCAATGATATATAAATACCGACTGTTATGGTAGGTAAAGATGTATAAATATTGAGTATTATGTTGGTAATAACTTACATATTGAGTATTATAGTAGGTAAAAGTCAGTGGATGTTACAAATTATGGTAGGTAAAGATGTATAAATATTGAATATTATGGTGGTAAGAACTTTATAAATGTTGAATATTATAGTGATGATAGTTAGAAAAACATTGAATCATATAGTTGTTAAATTATGTGAATATTGAATATTACGATAGGTAAAGATGTATGGGAGTCGCCGTGGCAGAGACTTTTTTTTAAGAATGTCAACCCAGCTCTGAGTGGGTACCGGGTGCTGTCCCAGGAAGTAGAGGTGGCCGGCGTGATGCTGACTATATCACCCATCTTTTGCCGATTGGACTATAAAATATAGGTCTAGCCCTATATGCCCTATACGCCTAAAGGCGTGGAAAAGGGTCCTTTACTTACTTTACTAAAGCTGTATAAGTATTGAATATTATGGTGATCAGAACTTTTATTAATATTAAATTTATTGTGGTAATAAGTTATGTTGTTTGTGCATCACAAGTGATGAAGACCGCTTTTCATACAAAGTAGTAATGATCAGTGATTATGAGTACAAAGGTGGCAGATTAGTTCAATGTGAGCCCGGTAAGTTCTTGAGCAGTGCGGACAACAGGTGATGATAAATACATAAACATTGAATCATATAGTTGCTAAAGATATATGAATATTGAATATTATAGTAAGTAATGATCCATTAGCAGTGAATTCCCCCTGGTCTCTGGGTAGTGAGATCGGAAAACCCGTATGCAATGTTGCGCACATAAAAAATCCCTTGGCAGTTGGAAATCAAAAAGAGTAGCCTAACGGCGCTGCCTGGGTCAAATTTGGAGGTAAAATCTATCCAAAGTATTTCAGGAACCTCGCCAAAGCTACAGAGCCTGGTACTGCGCTGAGCTTCTTCGGACTCGGACTTGAGTTAGAAGACGGAGCACTTATGGGTTACTACCCGTGTGCCATGATGTTGATTCATTGTTCAAACTTTAAACTTCAAAATAGCTGTGAATTGTATAGTTTCTGAAATGTGATATAAACTGACTTGATAGGTTTCTTTTTAATTTCCTGTAAAGAACATTGTACGGGAAAATTCATTTACAACAGGCAATATTTTATGGTCAATTACCAGAAAATGCAGTATTAAATACACATGATTAAATATAAAGATTATTCAGTGTATATTCTGTATAGTTTGAAGAATAAAATGTGTATATTTTGAACTATATGAAGTTTACATAATAAAAAATGTATAGAAGATAGTATAGTATATGTTTTATTGGTCTGAAGTATACAAGAGGTACTATGTTTAAATTGTAAAATATATGTAAGGAACTCATTGTGCAGTGTATGAATTGTGAAGTATAGAAATATTTAAAGCATACACTCGGTCATGTTCAATTATCTAAAGATAAAGTATAAAAGTAAAAATAGACTAAATATTAAGTACATATAACATATATAATGAAGAATAAAATATACAGTACAGGAAATATATGCTATTTGGAGAGCGTGGTAATGTATTGAAATATGCTAGTATATGAACTAGCCTGCAGTTTTTTGTTGTTGTTTTTTTTAATAAACATTTAAATACACTATAAGCCTAGCTCTGGATACCATCCTACAATTTATTTTAGTGAATTTAATATGCTAATTGGCTGGCTAGGTGTTTAAGAACTGTGGGCTTTCATTTAGAAGGCCGATGTTTGTATCCTTAGTAAAATGGTGGATTTATTTAGTCTGTGAAGGCAGACATAAAATGCCACCTGGCCAGCCTGAGGCACACTAACCATGAGGATGTAGACCAGAGCTGGCATCCTTTTTTTTTTTTTTTGGTCTGTGGGCTAAATTTAGAATTACCAACCTGGTCCCGGGCCATATAGATTAAAATTCCATTATAAACTTAACACCTAGAGTTCCTCATAACAGGATATTTTTTTTCTCTCCGGATAATCTAAGATTACAATACTTCCCTATGCCTCTGGCCAGACACAGTAACCCACTGAAGCTCTTCTGTGTATTCCTAAATGTGTTTATTCGAACTGATGATTTGCAGAAGCCAGGGTAAGTGGGGATGTTGAATGTTGAATTAAGAATCGACATCACAGCACTTGAGACACTTCGATAAGTGCTCAGTCCCTATCTTCAGCAGCAAGAAAATAGTTCCAGTTCCAATGGTACCAGTAGCCATCTGATTGTATATCTGTGTCATCCTTCCCCTGAATGTTGACAGTCGGCCAGATCCCCTGGTAACTCCTCGCAGCGCCGTTCTCCTTAGACCGTAATGACCTATTTGTGCCTCCGCACTGTTCACTCACCCCCAAAGGGCCCTCACATTATTGGTAGGTGGGAAGAAAAGCAGAGAAGCATGAAATTATAGGAAATGAGCAATAAGAGAGTAAAAAATAGAGTAACAGATAGTGAGATGATAATATTTCTTTCTGCAAAGATCAAGTGTTTTTTGTGTTCTGCTATTTTTGTGTGAGCTCAAAGACCAGCCACGTGAGCCAGTAAAAATTGCTTGGGGGGGGGGGGTGAAGGGGTGTGTATAGGTGCACGGGTGTGTATAGGTGCACGGGCCATAGTTTTCCAACCTCTGCCCTAGGTCCTCACACTTAGGACCCATACCCTACACTGCCCTAAAAAGAGGTAAAGACAGTCAGTAAAGACAGTCAGTAAAGACAGTCAGTAAAGACAGTCAGTAAAGACAGTCAGTAAAGACAGTCCAGTGTGGTGGTTTTCCCTGACCTTCTACACTCATCAGAAATGTGTAAAATAGTCTCAGATCCGCTGTGTCTTTGAATTGTTCTTCAGCAGACATTTTATGAATGCTTCCTGTGGGTGTCTTTACTGTAGGCTTCCTGACGAAGGCTAAGGAGAAAGCTGAGAATATGAGTCAGAAGTTCCAGGCAAAGATGGACAGTGTCACAAACAACCCATCCATTGGTGGTTCCCAGCCAAGCAACCCTATACAGACCCAACCAGCTGGCTCATTACAGAGAAGACCAGAGTCCATTGCTGTGCAGGTAAGTTTGTTCACTACACATTACAAATTAGCAGGGCTTGATTTCTGAGGTGTTGTTCGTCCATCACAAGCGATGAAGGCCACTTTTCATCCAAAGTAGTAATGATTAATGATTATGAGTTCGAAGGAGGCTGATTAGTCCAGTATGAGCCCGCAAAGTTCTTGAGCAACAGATGGGAACCGCAGAAAGTGTGGGATTAGCAGTAAAATTCTTTCTAGTCTGCCTCCGTTTTTCTACCTGTGCAACTTCCGTTTCTCTGCCTGCCTGTTGACTGACAGGCCGATGCACGATGTCTGAGGGATGTACGCTCTCCAGAATGGTGTTGTGCGTCAGCCTCCCACGTCGCTGTGTTAATGCCAAAAGAATTGAGAGCAGTCTTCAAAGTGTCCTTATAAGTCTTTTTCTGTCCTCCCTGGGACCTCTTCCCTTGCTGGAGCTCACTACAAAATACTTTCTTTGGGAGGCGATAGTCTGGCATGCGGGTTAGGTGACCAGCCCAACGCAGCTGACAATTCCTCAGTATTGTGTGGATGCTAGGCAGGTTTGCCCCATCAAGAACCACAGTGTTAGGGATCTTATCTTGCAATTTGATTTTGAGCAGCTTTCCAATGTACACTGTTGTGCACAATACCGGCAGCTTTTGTATTTGGCATCCTGTCTTCAGCACAACTGTAATAGACACTTTGTGAGAGAGTACCAAAACCTTTTTTGCGAAAGATACTCTGTGGTCAGTACTGCCACCTTTTGTTATTAAAAAACAAAAAGAGATTAAAAAAGGTTAAAGTAAAATCGGGAGATGTAAACCAGTGTCATTGCACACTGTTATATACCATAAGTGCTCTGCCACCAGTACGCACAGCTGATAAGAATTGTTTGCCTGTGTCGCTGTCCACACGTAACTCTGTAGCTACAGCGATGATCCTCTATTTACCCCGGGAACCGTGGGCTGCAGCGATTCGCAGCTGGATTTGAAAGTGAGCCTTTTATTGACTGCGCTAACGCGGCCCCCCAATTTTTTTTTTTTTAATACAAGATTAGAGTTGTCAAATATTATGTATACCCAACCATACTTTATGGTGCAAAGAACTGAACAGGGAACAAACAGTTAGAAAGTCAAGCCGAGACCTTGCAAGTGGTGCCCCCCCCCCTTCCAGATCATTGCCAATTGTATTATTTTAATGATCTGTCTATGCTTGGGCTCATGACTTTGGCCCGTGACAATCCCCAGTTGAAAAAATTTGGCCCCTGAGTGAACTTAGTTGAAAAGCCCTGCTCTACAGAAACTCTACAGCCAAATCCCGTGAATTCAGTGCTCATGATCAAGATGGGTTGTTGAGCATAAATACTATAGAAAGATTATAAGATTAACATGGATCCAGAAGAAAAGAAGTATTGACATCCTAAAAGATCTGAACAGTAGGAAAAATAGGCTTATAAATGGTATAAGCCAGATCAAACTTCACAGTGGATTGGAAAGAATCATAGTGGAGGGTAGTGTGCCAAGCAAAAGGTGCAGGGGTCAACCAGCACAAATGTGGGCATACAAGACATAAGAGACACCATGGGCATGAAAGTGTGAGGCGGAAGAGCTGGCAAGGGACTGAGTTTCTTTTGGGTATGCTGTAATTGTAGGGATTCTTTCAGGTGGGTTGTAATTGTAATGATTCTTTCAGGTGGGTTGTAATTGTAATGATTCTTTCAGGTGGGTTGTAATTGTAGTGATTCTTTCAGGTGGGTTGTGATGGTAGTGACGTTCTGTAAAGGACCTTCTACATGCTGATGATGTTGATGGTTGAGGTGACCAGAAGAGCAAGAACCGGCACCCTGTATTTTCTTCAACACTCGAAGCAGTAAAAGAGAGAGTGAAAAAGAAGAGGGAACAATTCTTTTGTAAAGTTATCTTTAATCTTGTTGATGTTTTTGTAACCAGGTATTCCTGTTTCTTTCATTGTCTAGGAGTCTCTGAGCATGGCCATTGGTGAATTGTTCATGTCTTGCCTTCATGCGTGGAGCCTAGATCCTCAGTTGGATGATTTGTGTCTCAACAAGCTGGGTCTCCACAAACCAAAGTGTCCGATCAGCTTCGGCCTCCTATCACACAGAGGTCACATGTCGCTCATGTTGCCTGGATGGCACCGCCACCAAAACCTGGTTGGGGGTGTCTTGAGAAAAAGTTCAATTTCCAGTGTGTCTAGCGGTATGTCTTTGGGAATTTACTGCCTGTTTAGCTGTCTATTTCCGTTTCATCATCATTTATAAAGATATTATCAGTATCATTTTCAGTGACATCATTAACAACATCATCATTAGCAACATTATCATCAGTGACATCATCAACATCATTATTAGCAACATCATCAGTGACATCATCATTAGATACATCATCAGTGACATCATAAATAGCAACATCATCATCAACATTAGCACCATCAACATCATCTTCATTAGCTACAACATCAGTGACATCATCGTCAACATCATCAGCATCATCGTTAGCAACATCATCATGATCATGTGCCTTGCCATGTGGTATGGACTGTTTCTTTGCATGCCAGATCACTTCTCTGTTGTTTTCCCTCTAAGCCACCAGCTCATACCATCCCAGTCTGGGGGAGGGGGGTTAATAGTAGAGTGAAAGTAGTCTGAAATCATACTCATGTCATTTTAGACCTTCAGTGTCTGTGGCTTAGGCATTGCGAACGCCCCTCGTAATGTCCGGGTGCCGGGTTCGATCCCTGCTGCGGACAGTTTCGACCGTGGTACCGAGAGCCGACCGTCCGGAACGCAATGGCAAACTACTGGACGTTAATTTGCCTAGAAAAACCACAACAGCCAGAAAGTGCTGGGGTTGATTCTGCAACGTCCTGTAAAGGATACGCAACTAATTTTGTCGGCTCTGTGGCTAAGTCGATGCGAACGCTTCCAAATACTGGGATGCCTGGTTCGATCCTAGCTGCGGGCCATGCGCCTTGCTTTGGTTTTGACAGTGGTATCAAGAAAGCCGACCGTCCAGAAAGAAATGGCAAACTTCTGGACATAAATTTGCCTAGAAAAACCACAAAACAGCCAGGGGCTGTTGGGGTTGGTTCTGCAACCTCCTGTAAAGGATACACAACTAACCATTTAAGACCTTGTCATTTTAGACCAATTATTCTAGACCAAATGTTCTAGATGAAATATTAGTGACCAATCATTCTAGGCTAAAAAATTTTTCGACCAATCCTTCTGAACTAGTCATTCTAGACCTTGTCATTTCAGACCAAATATTCTAGATGAAATATTTGAGACCAAACATTCTAGACTATTTTTTTAGACCAATCCTTCTGAACTAGTCATTGTAGATCTGGTCTTTTTAGACCAAATATTCTAGATGAAATATTTGAGACCAAACATTCTAGACTATTTTTTTTAGACCAATCCTTCTGAACTAGTCAATCTAGAATTTGTCATTTTAGACCAAATATTCTAGATGAAATATTTGAGACCAAACATTCTAGACTATTTTTTTAGACCAATCCTTCTGAACTAGTCAATCTAGACCTTGTCATTTTAGACCAATCCTTCTGAACCAGTCATTCTAGACAAATTGTCCCAGGCCAGGTAAGTATCACACACTTTATGTAATTCTTTTATTTATTATTACTTTTGATTCATTTGTTTACATAATATTTGAATACTGTAATTTAGTTCATTTATTTGTATGTATGATGTTTTATTTCTCATTGTCATTTTGCTGATAAAACCAATAGCTGTGGCCTGCCTTGTTTTACTTATGAAATTAGTACGTAAAACCGAAATATACGTTGTGTTGTGTAATAATATTTTTAGACTTTCATAGCTTCACTGCGGCCGTGTGGCTCAGAGTGCATTTAATTATTTCAGGATTGTCGCATATCAGTTCAGATTCCATAGTGGATAGTCCAGTTATTAAAAAAAAAAAACATATTTTAGTGTTATGTAGAAGTAACACACAATGGAAGCAGTGTAGGTCTCATTGCCTTCATTAATGAGACTGCACATTTTTTGTTTCTTTTAAATGTTACTTCAGACCCCTAATTTGTTTATCCTAACTCTCAACTGTTCGCAGACAGCACACCAACCCTGTTGCACCAACGGATGGGTGCAGTGCCATTTGACAGTGACATTCCGAATGATGACACAGATAACACTGCTGGAAAACCCCTAGATGCTTCGCTGTCTCCAGCCGGAGCAAGTGATCAAAGTGGCCGCTCACCAAAACCAGCGCGGCCACCTTCAGCCCGTCGAACCTCTAGTGTTGTGTCATATCAACAGCAGGCGTATGATTTTTCTACCAAGGTAGATGTCTTCCTCTTGTGTCATCTCACTGATACCATGTTGTAGCCCAGTGTCATAGTTTTCTGTTTTTTTTTCGGGTGGCTTGGGTAGTGGATTTGTTCATCTATTCACAGGTTTAAGCTTCACAAGTTTATCTGTCTCTTTCTTTGTTTTCTGCTCGTCTTCCTCCCAGATGTTCTGCTTTAGAAAGTTTCATATGAAATTTGGTCTGGCTGCATTCTCACTACATGGCTGAACCATTTCATTCTTTATCAGTCACTGGGATGGTGGGGGTTGAAACCTGTGACCACTAAGCAGACAGGTTAGCTGTTGCTTCATTGCAGCTTCCACGTAATTACAAAATGAATTTTTCATATCTAGGGTCGTTATTTTGTGCAAAAGTGATTTTATCTGAGTGTGTGTGTGTGCGTGCATGCACATTCATGCTTGCGAGTGAAGGGAATAAATTATTAAATACTTTCCTTGTCTGTTCTGGTGCCTCTTTGCGAGGGGAAAACAAGAATAAACTCACTGCCTCTCTAACAAGCATGTTGTAAGGGTAGACTAATTAGGTATTTCCTTCAAAACTGTGAGGCAAGGAACTAACAGTCTGCATACAAATAAGCCAGATCAGTAAAAATGAATGTCTACACAAAATTGGAACAAGGCAACAGTCCAGAACTGGATGGACAATGAGAACTTTTCACCCGAGTTTACAGCCGGTAAATGTAAAGAAAAAAAAAAGGAATGTCAGGAGATGTGAACCAGCAATATTGCACACGTTTATAAAACTGTCCGCCTGTGTCTCCGTTCGCACGTAACTCTGTAGCTACAGCGACGTTCCTCCATTTACCCCAGAGTGTCACTCTGGTACCCATTACCTAGAGGCTGGGTGAACCCGGGAATCGCCTGGTTTGGAACACCAACTGTGGCTGCAGCGAGTCACAGCTGGATTTGAAAGCGAGCCTATGTGAAGAAAAAGAATCACTTAATACAGACAACAGAAATAACTGCTTTCCTTTCCTTTGACCAAGAAACTTGATTGATTTGTGGACACAACCACAGAGAGAAAAGTGATGGCATCATCACAGCAACTATGACCAATACAAATTTTTTAAATGTTGTGTTCTCAAAAAATTCTCAAACATTTATTTTTTCTTCAAAAAATAATCAAGCCAACCACATCTACATAATTTGCAGTTGCAACCGATACCATAGCTGTTATATAGGTATATTAACCATTGTCCAAAGAGGTTGTGTCGTCAAAAACTTGTAACAGTCGGGAAAACTGGCTTTCTCAGGGCGACAGGGTTAAAGGGCATCATAAAATGAGCCTAACATTTACTGTCAGTAGAACAGCTGGAACATGTGACTACTGGTCAGATTTGTGGAGAATGAGAAAGAAGAAGACTGTGTGTTGCAATTCCAATTCTTTTTAAGAAAAAAAAAATAAAAAACATGAACATGTTCAACCTGCTGCTAGGTAGCCAAAGCTGCCAACAGTATCCGGCTATATTTGTGGTCTTGTTTATTTGCGCCACTTGTCATCCATGTGAGAGTGTGTTATTCTTGAAAGCTTTTTATCATGCCATGGAAGGGTGTTAGAATATGAACTGATACATGCTGTCTTGAAGATCACAGGTTTTGGATGCAAACCCTGCCTATCATCCACAGAGTATGTAGATGATATGTGGATGGGTGTATGCAAAATTTGAGTTTGACGGCTCATCTTGTTTTAGAAAATCACTTTGACCAGACATACAAAAGTCACTTTAATAAAAGCGTATAAAACCGGACTCACTTTCCATCACAGCTACGATGGCAGATTTCTAGTGCCGTGACCACCCAGCATCTGTTGAGTGTGATCTCAGTGGCCAACACATTGATGGGGATGAGTAGAGCAGTGTTTTTACCTGAATTGTTGCAGCCTTTGATGAGGTAACAGTGTTTTTTTATATTGCCTTCCGTGTGTAGACTGTTCATTTTGTGTGTAAGTGTTGAAATGTGTGACTGTTAAAATGAGTAAGTGTTGAAATGTGTGAGTGTTGAAATGTGTGAGTGTTGAAATGTGTGAGTGTTGAAATGTGTGAGTGTTGAAGTTGAAATGTGTGAGTGTTGAAGTTGAAATGTGTGAATGTTGAAATGTGTGAATGTTGAAATGTTTGAGTGTTGAAATGTGTGAGTGTTGAAATGTGTGAGTGTTGAAATGTGTGAATGTTGAAATGTGTGAATGTTGAAATGTGTGAATGTTGAAATGTGTGAATGTTGAAATGTGTGAGTGTTGAAGTTGAAATGTGTGAGTGTTGAAATGTGTGAATGTTGAAATGTGTGAGTGTTGAAATGTGTGAATGTTGAAATGTGTGAGTGTTGAAGTTGAAATGTGTGAGTGTTGAAATGTGTGAGTGTTGAAATGTGTGAGTGTTGAAATGTGTGAATGTTGAAATGTGTGAATGTTGAAATGTGCGAGTGTTATTGTATTTTTTTTAATGCCTTGCATGTAAGAGGAGAGTAAGAGAGAGAAATACAGAGGGAAAGAATGAGAGAGATAATGACGGAAAGAATGAGAGAGAGAAAGAATCAGAGAGAGAAAGAATGAAAGAGAAAAAGTCTGGAAAAGAATGAGAGAGAGAGAGAGAGAGAGAGAGAGAGAGAGAGAAAGACAAGAGGGAAAGAATGTGAGAGATAAAGAGGGAAAGGATGAGAGAGAGAGAAAGAAAGAGGGAAATAATGAGAGAAAGAGGGAAAGACTGAGATAAAGACAGGGAAAGAATGAGAGAGAGAAAGAATGAGAGAGAGAAAGACTGGAAAAGAATGAGAGAGAGAGAAAGACAAGAGGGAAAGAATGCGAGAGATAAAGAGGGAAAGGATGATAGAGAGAGAGAGAAAGAAAGAGGGAAAGATTGAGATAAAGACAGGGAAAAAATGAGAGAGAGAAAGAATGAAAGAAAGAATGAGAGAGAGAAAGAATGAGAGAGAGAAAGACTGGAAAAGAATGAGAGAGAGAGAAAGACAAGAGGGAAAGAATGAGAGAGAGAAAGAATGAGAGAGAGAAAGAATGAGAGAGAGAAAGACTGGAAAAGAATGAGAGAGAGAGAAAGACAAGAGGGAAAGAATGAGAGAGAGAAAGACTGGAAAAGAATGAGGGAGAGAGAAAAAAAAGAGGGAAAGAATGAGAGAGAGAAAGAAAGAGACAGAAAGACAGACCCTGACCACATCACCCATCTTGTGTTGATTGGTCTATAAAATATAGGTCTCATTTGTTACTGCTTTGTATTCAGTCTTTTAAATTCTTTTCCTTTTAATCTCCGTATTATTAATTTTATATTTTCTTTTGTATTTATTCATTTTTTATTTATTCATATTTAAATCTGTCTTTTCTGTGTCTGTCTGTTATTCAGTCTTTTAATAAAAAAAATTAAGTTTGTCTGTTTTGTTGTTGTTGGTAATGTCTGCCTATTAAACTTGGTTTGCTTTAATTAGTATGTACACAAATCTGTCTTCAGAAATAGGAAAGAATCTGCCGGCAGTAACTTTGGATATGACAGTGCAGACAGCACTGGGATGTCAGAGTCGGATTCTGCAGATGCTATAGCCACGATCCAGGCTCAGATTAAGCAGGGCTGGAGTCTGCTGGCAGCCCTTCATTGCGTGTTGCTGCCAGAGCTGGTCGGGCCGGAGCACTATCAGAGTCCACAGCTGGAGATGTTGGCTCGACGCTGGCAGGACAGATGTCTGGAGGTAAAATTCTCTCTCTTGTGGTTCCCTGGGCCCCATTTTTGTAGCACAAGAAAGAATAGACCTTTCTGTTTTTCTTTGTCTTCTGCCTTCTATCCCCTAATGAAGCAAGCGTAGGCGCTCAACCAACTCACGCCAAGTTGTTCTGGCCTTCGCTGTTGCATGCAGCTCACTCGATGTACTCTCTCTCTTTTTTTTTTTCTCTAGCTTCCTTCTTGGTGTATTTTTTGGTCTGCCTAGGGGGCTGCATGGTCTCGAAGCATGGTGTTCGCCTCGAGTGCTAGAAGTTCTGGGTTTAATCCCCGGTAAGGGCTGGGATTTTTTTCACGTGGACTTGGACTTTAGTAATTCCTCCTGGTCTCTGGGTAGTGAGATCGGACGCCTGTGTGCATTGTTGCGCACATTTTGGCAGTTGGAAATCAAAAAGAGTAGTCTAACAGCGCTGCCCGAGCAAAACTTAAGAGTTAAAAATCACCTAAAGTATTTCAGGATCCTCGCCGTTGCTAAAGAGCCTGTGCACTGTGCTGAGCTTCTTCGGACTTAGACTTGAGTTAGAAGAAGAACAAAGCACTTAGGGGTTACTACCTGTGTGCCATGATGTTGATTCATTGTTCTAACCATAAACCTTTGGTCTGCCTTTATTTCTATGCCCATGTGTGTTTCAGTGCAAAAACTTAGTAATCTTCTTCTCAGGTTTTTTCAGTGTGTGTCTTATCCAATGCCAGCCTCTTTTCTTCACCTAGTGGTCCACTGGAACTTGTTTAGTTTTCTCTCAAAGCTCAGCATTAGTGGTTCTACCATACCATTAATTCCCTCTATTCTAGGCAGGCACTCATTAATGAATGTCTGTAGTGTATAAGTAATTGTTTTAGTTGTTCTTTATCTTTCTACTCCATACAGCAGTGATGAGTAATGATTTGACATAATTAAAAAAAAATATATGTTTAATGTCAGTTTTAATTTCATTTGACCTCTGTACTATGAAAGCTGTTCTTGCCTTTTGTATTTATATTTTCTCTATCAGTTTCACCCATATATATCTACATTACTGACCAAATAGGATTACTATCGTGTTCATAAACTCCGACGCTATGCTCCATTGGGAGATAGAAAGGTAGAAGAAGAAAATGGAGGTGCTGGCTCGAGGCTGGAAGGACAGATGTCTAGAAGTAATGTTCCCCATATGGTATGAGCTCCCACCCCACCCACCAGGTGTGTTTAAAATAAAAAAATTTTTTAAAGAAAAATGAAGAATATACCCACTGCTTCTTAACCAGAAGTCGTGATAGGCGACTAATTGTTTTTGTTTTTGATCCAGTGGCACATGACTTTTCGTCACTTGGCCCAGTGCCATGTAGTGGAATTTACGTGTTTTCCCAAGTTGTTCTTTTCCTCCGTACAAGGTGTTCCACGTGTCTGGTCTAGTAGGGAGTAATATTATTCTAGTCTCTGTATAGCCAACAGTTTCATAGGAGTAGTTACATAGCTGGCACTCTGAAAGCGACTAAATGAAGACTTGCAGAAGTTGAAAATGTTGGGCCAAACGTCAGTTAAAAATGAAAAAAAAAAAAAAAAAAAACAAGAAGCTATGGTGTCTTCACGATTTAGGTTGGCTGCTGTGTTAACATTTTAACCATGGGAATAGTGGATAGTGAGGCCCCAGTCTCTTCCACGAAGCGACTCTCCTACCACTCTCTTTAAGCCATGAGAACAGTCTTTTTCTAAACCATGAGATTTAAACCCTTGTAATCCCCATGTGGGTTCTGTGTCCCAATGTGGGGAAAATAATAACAGGCCCACTGCCTACGCAAAATCATGTAAGAGTGGACTAATTGGGAACTTCCTTTGAAGTCGGGAGTGCGACTGCCTGAGAGGCAAGGAACCAACAGTCTGGAAAAAAAAACTTGCAGCTGCTCTCTTTGGTTGGTAAATTGTAAATGAGTCGGATCTGTGAAACGAATGTACACGCAACCAAGGTTCTTTAACAGGACTAGAGTCTAGAAATGGATGAACAAAAAGAATATGCCGCCGGAGTTTACAGCTGTTGTACGCAAAGAAGAATAAGAAACCCTGGTAAACATCGAGAATTGTGAAACCATTTCAGTTTTCTCTAGGCCACAGAGCCATCAAATCTGTTACTAGTTAAAATCTTCTATACTTCTTTGTTTTTGGTTTTGTTTTTGTAAAAAAAATTTCTTTATCTGCTTTACATTTGAATGGTGACATTTAACTGTTCTGCTTTAAATTTGTTTTGTTGTAAACATTTGTATCACTTTAACATTTGTATCGCTTTAACATTTGTATCACTTTAACATTTGTATCACTTTAACATTTATATCACTTTAACATTTGAATCACTTTAACATTTGAATCACTTTAACATTTGAAACACTTTAACATTTGTATCACTTTGCAGATTCGAGATTCCTACCACTTTCTTTAAGCCACGAGAGCGGTCTTTTTCTAAGCCCTGGTATCATTTTAACATTTGTATCACTTTAACATTTGTATTACTTTAACATTTATATCACTTTAACATTTGTATCACTTTGCAGATTCGAGAAGCAGCACAGGCATTGCTCCTTGCTGAGCTACGCAGAATCAAAAATGAAGGCCGTAAGAAACTCTTGGATAAGTGGGCACCTTTCTTACCATCTTACGTGGACCCTGAGTTGTCACTCTTGAGCAACGCTGGAGGAGGCCACAAAGAGGGAGATGAAGAGGAAGATGATGAAGAGGAAGGAATATTGGCAGGCAAGTAATGTTTTATTATCATCATTCAGTGATGTGCTAGTGAGTATGGACAATCATTCTTCTCCCATATCTTGTGTTCTTCTACTTCACATTCGCTGGCTGTAAACTCTGGTGGAAAGTTCTGATCCTTTGTCCGCAACTTCTGGACTTGAGTAGTCTTGTTCCAGAACTTAAGATTTATGTGCACATCCGTTTGGCAGATCTCACTTCTTTATGTGTAGACTGTTAGTTCCTTGCCTCTCAAGCAGATGCACTCCTACATCAAAGGAAACACCCCACTTAGTCTTCTTCTTCTTCTTCACTTCCTCTTTTACCGCTGTGGGTGTCGAGGGAGATATATGGTTCTGTTTCTAGCTCTTCTGGCTGCCTCGACCATAGGCACATTGTGCTGTTTTAGAGTTTCTCTGATGTTATCCTTCCATCTTGTTCTTGGTCTACCCCGTGCTCTACGTCCTTCTTCTCTTTCCATGTATGCTATGTATGGTATGGTATCACAAGGCATTCTCTCTAAGTGGGCAAACCATTTCACTTGCTGTCTTTGTATGTAATCCAGAATTGGTTCTGTGCCGACTTGTTCTCTTATGATCTCATTCCTGATCTTATCTCTTATGGTCACTCCTACAGCCCTTGTCAGACATCTCATTTCCGTGGTTACTAATTTTCTTTTATGGTTTGTTGTGAGGCACTTAGTCAACTTTCACAAAATGCTTGTTGGGTGAGCTGGGGTGGGGGGGGGGAGTGGATCTCCCCCCCCCCCCCCCCCTCTCCAAAAAAAAGGGTCCTCTCCCGGGAACCCATACAGGGATTATGATGTTTGAATATTGATGCCTCACCATATCGTGACAGAAGACTTTTGATGAGAATCTTCCTTCTTTATTTTACTTTTTCTCTTCTTCTTATGTCTTATAGATGTGGTAAAAAACGTGTTCTCCTCTATTTGACAGTTTGCTGTAGGTTCTTTGTCTTCTTTTATCAGTATCTGCTTTGTGCCACTGGGTATCATAGTTTAACAGATGATAGCTAGCGGAGTCAGGGCTTCCCTAATTGCTTGATATGATGAAGTCTTTGAGTTGTCAGTGACTCCTATGATCTGTATTCTTCTAGGTCTCCCTCTGCCTTTTGGTATTTTCATATTGTATGCTCTTGCTGCTGCTTTCTTTGGACGAATTGTTCTCATTATGTGGCCAGATAATTTCAGTTTTTGTTTAATAATAATTTTATGATCAGTTTTGTTGGTAGGAAGGTAGGTGTTGTACCCCACCAGGACATTACAGAAGAGATAAACACCCATTGACACAAAGTGCCACCATGCGGATAAGGATCACCCGTGGAGAGGTCCCAGAAACCCCTTTCAGCTGTTAGGCCATAGGGCCGGGCTGTATTTAGGGTCCCTGGCTAAAGCCAGGGTGGGGCTTCAAAATAACTAAAAATTGCATCCCACAAGGGACTGATGAGTCACATCGGTATTGTTGCTTGTACCTCACCAGGGCATCACACAGACGATAAACATCCGGTGACACAAAGTGCCACCATGCGGATGAGGATAACCCGTGAAGAGGTCCCAGAAACCTCTTTCGGCCGTCATGGCCACAACTGTGGCCCAGCTATATTTAAGGCCCCTGGCAAAAGCCAGGGTGGGGCTTCAATAATGAAAAATTGCATCCCACACGGGGATGACTAAGATATCGGTATTGTTCTTCTAATCTCTTCATTCACAAATACACTGGGACTATGAACGATGTACTTGAAAGGACCAAATGTAAGATGGGCCTGCTTGCCCAGTTTGTGACCCTTTAAAATTAAAAGTTTATTCGTTCATTGATTCGTTCTCACATGATTTCTTCTGGTTCTGTTCGTAACCTTTCTCAGACATCTTTTTCCAGATTCTGTGTCATCATCATCATGTAGCAGGTCCTTTGCAGAACGTCGCTCTCATCAAGGTCTGCCTCAAAGAAACTCGGCCTCTCGCCAGCTCTCCCGCCTCATGCACTTTCATGCTCAAGGAGTCACTTATATCCTGTGCCCATTTTCGTGTTAGTCGCCCCCTGCCCCTTCTTTCTGGTGCCTGCCTTCTGCCAACATTTTTTTCCAATCCGTTGTGGCACTTGATATGACCAAAATATTTCAGCTTCTAAGAAAGAAATTAAAGATGTCCATGGGTTTTATTTAATTGGAAACCATTGCTTTAGCAAATTGAACAAAGTAATTTTCTTTGTGGAAATTTGTTGGGGGGAGGGGGTGTGGGATGAACGTTCGTTAAAATTGTAGTCATGATTTTGTTTTCAGCTTTGCTTTAACATGAATTTTTTTTTTCTTTCTGGCATCTCAGGTGACATTCCAGCTCACAAACTGTCGGTCTCATTTGAGAGTCGGCGCAAGCAGGCAACAGCGATTGTCATGCTAGGAGTCATTGGGGCAGAGTTTGGCCAGGAGATGGAGCCCAGTAGGACCAAACCTGGCGAGGAGACCAAGAAGACCAAAGGCAAGGGCACAGTTGAAGGGTTTAGCCTCTCTAACTATTCCCTGGCCAGGCATACAAGTGAGTATCTGGATTGTGTGTGTGCATGCGTGTGCGGAGAGTGGCTAGACGCGCGCCGCGGATCGGAAGGTCGTGGGTTCGCTCCCTGGCGGAGCCAGACTTCTCTTCAAAAATGACCTTGGCTCCCAGGTCGACCCAGCCTTAAGCGGGTACCGGGTGCAGTCCCAGGAAGTAGAGGCGCCTGGCGTGATGCTGACCACATCACCCATCTTGTGCCGTTGGTCTATAAAATATAGGTCTAGCCCTATACGCCTAAAGGCGTGGAAAAGGGTCCTTTACTTTACTTTTACTATGTGTGCGCGGGCATGGTTCTTCGTCAGTCATCGGGTTCTTTACAAAATGTAGCTGTCGTCACGGCACGCCTAAAAGTCTCTCATACTGTATTCAGTTCTTCAGCTCTGTGGGCTGTCATAACCAATTCATCTTCAGTGTCTTAAATCCACAGTTACGAAAGTCATCCTCTGTCTCTCATTCTGGGAATTGTACCTTCCATTGCCATTTTCTCCAGACCATCATAAAGTTGAACTCTTTCAGTCCCAAGAAAGGAATGATTTGAATCCCAGCATCTGCACAACATGTTCTCTAACCTTTAAGTATTGATCATAGCATTCTAATAGCATTCTAGTAGCATTCTAGTAGCATTCTAAAGATATCTGGTTGTCATATTGGCTACATTCAGATCCCTAATATTTACATAGTTGGATCTAACAAAACATAAATGTGATTCGAGTTTGTAATCAGACATAGTTTAAATGCAGGCATATTTATAGACAACGTAGTAATATGAACATAGAAGTCACAAACAATAGATTGCACAGGTGCATACTACAGTAGCAATGAATTAAAATGAAGCAAGTAAATGAATATTTCAAACTGAAACACAAAATCGATTACATTTAAAAACTGTTTCACCAGGGTAAACGCAAGATGAAGAGCATGTCCTTTTGTTGGCATAATTGTGCACCTGATGAGATACAGCAAAGTAAGCCAGACAATAAATTGTGCAATCTATTGTTTGACTTCTTTGTTCAGATTCACAGTGGGGAAACATTGCTTTAATAAAGTGACAGTTTCACTCATTCATGGCCTGGTGTTTGTAGACAAAATGTTATTGATTATTCTCTTTCACATCCTGCTATTTGTAAGCACGATACAAATCAAGCATTGTGGTCATATGGACAAACTGCTACTACCAGGGAGATAACCGTTGCTTCCAGGACACTCGTGGATGGCAGAGCATGCAGTCATACAAGCAATGATCATATCAGACTCCAGAAATGCTTCAGCTCTGAAAAGGAGATAGCATTCAAAGTCGCACTTACCCTCCTTCACCTGGATCGACACACCTGGACATGCCAGAGTAGAGTGTAATGAACGAGCATACCAACTGGCATGGAGGGCGATGCATGGACAGAACTGATATCATCAATGCCCTAGGGATTAGACTAGTGGTTAATGAATCTCTGATACTAACCTGATTATGTGACCTGGGAGTTAAGCAAGTCGATGCTGTTTAAGATAGGAGGCGTTATAATCTTTTAATGGGAACAATCAGTATTTTAGGATGGTTGCTGCGTGAGAGGACTAAGCAATGATGTTGATTATGAGAATACAGCATGGTTCAACTCTTTCACATCCTACTATTTAGTTGCAAGATACTTCTTCTCTTCTTCGAATTCACCAGATGTTAACTCTGGCAGAAAATTCTGGTTGTTCATCCACTTCCATTTTACAGATCTGGCTTGTTTGTGTGCAGACTGTTAGTTCCTCACCTCTCAGGCAGATACACTCCAGCTTCGAAGCAAACACCCAAAATTAGTCGCCTTTTACGATAAGCTTGTTAGGGGAGCAAGCGGGTCTATTCTTTTCCCCATTCAAAAAAGGGCCATGGAATACAACACGGAAAGAGACAAGGAACTAATCATTTCTCCGTTTCACGTTTTTGTTATCTGCAGGCAAGGCACTGATGTTTCTCCTCCTGCAGCCTCCCAGTCCCAAGCTTCCGGCGTACACCCCCATTCGCCGCGCCGCTATAGATCTGATTGGTCGAGGTTTCACAGTCTGGGAGCCATACCTGGATGTCTCGTCTGTGTTACTAGGTCTTCTGGAGCTCAGTATTGACTCCAACAAACTGATTCCCAGGTATGTTTTCATACACTTGATTTCTGTTTTAGTATGCTTGTTTTTTTCATACAAGGTTTCATTGACAGTTGTCAAAACTAAGGTAATTATTAATACCTGCCATGTGGTTAGCGAGTTCCATGTTTAAAAAAATGCCAACATTGATTCTAGATCAGAGTAATGAAAGAAAGCTAAAAAAAAAGCAAATTAACCGTACTTTATGTGTTGATTAAATTACAGAACAGAATATTTATTCATTCATTCAGTAGCATGTCCCTCGCGGAACCTCGCTGCCATAACAACCCTCCGGAAAATCTTCCTATCATGAGCAAGATGTCCTGCGTCTGATACACCCATCTGGAGATCATCTGCCACATCCTGCACCCATCTTCTCCTTGGTCTTCCTCTTCCTCTCTTCCCAGGCATATACCCCTCCATTATTGTTCTATCTAGACTTCCATGACGTTTCAAGTGACCAAAATATTTCAATTTTCTTTGTTTTATTGTCTTTACTAGCCAACCCTCTTCAATATTCAGCTCTTGAAGTATGGATGCATTTGTTCTTTTCTTTACCCAAGATATTCTTAGAACCTGTCTGTAACATTTATATTTAAATGCATTTATGCGCTTTTCCGCTTGTTTAGTAAGTGTCCAGGTCTCACAGGCGTATGTTGCAATGGGAAAGATGCATGCTCTTAAAAATCTGACCTTTGTAATTCTATCTGTACAATTCCATAATTTATTCAGTTGTTTTAGTCTTTGAAGAGCAATTGATAGTCGCCGTTTAATTTCTTTCATTGTGTCACCATTGTTGGTAACCAGTGACCCAAGATATTCGAAATTTTCCACCACTTCCAATCCTTCCTCATTAACATATATTTCCTTCTCCATGGCAGTTTTGTTTGTATGCATTATACCAGGAACAAAATGTGGCCCAAAAAAAAAAAATTACACTAATTTGTATACACCATGATATCTGATAATAAGAAAAACAATAATATTAGATAATATTTAAAATAATAATTTAATAGAATAGTTCAGAACCACAGAATGCAAATACAACGCTACTTGTCCCTTACGCACAGGGAGGGCAGCATAGTAATTGGTATAGCCATAAAGGACTCTGATTAGTAACTATGTTAGATAGTTCCGGGGAAAATCTACGAATTGTTACCGTTGGATTGATGTATGTCTTGCAGGGGTCAAATTTTCATGTAACCTCGGGAGGGCAAAGGTGAAGTTAAAAATTGAAATGATCGGCTTAATGTGCCGGATGTATCCCATAGTGCTCAGTTTCTTTCCAACTGACAGACTGGCCAGCCACCTGCCAAGAGCGTTGCACACAGCACAAACTTCTAAGCGTCAGCAGAGATCCCTGTAAAAACTTCCCCTGTGAACCAAACGACACATCCATAAAATGAACCCACAACTTGCAAAATGTGAGACGAGTGTCTTGACTACTTCGCCCAAGAAACCCCTTTAAGAGGGGAATATAGTCATTTGGTAGTATAGTCTATACAGCAAAACTTTTTTTGACTTACCATAAATTATTGTGAATTTCTCAGTGGTGCTTGTGTTTTCAGTCCCCTGTCTGGTCTTGTGTCTGAAGATTATGTTTGCATTCTTTGTGCATAATGTTGCTAATTCTGAGTCTGTGTTTGTATTGGTAACTGAATGTTGTGTTTGTAGAGATAAAACAAGATAAAAGCTTGAATCTTTGGGTGCAGAAATGAAAATTTTTTTAAAACAATTTGCTTTATTAGATCTACATTTAAAAAAAAATGCCAGGTTGGCTTTCAGTTCATTCTTTTATTTCCAGACACTGGCAACTTCTGCTATTTTTATCCCAAACAGTTGTTGCTTCAACCCTTTCTGTTCCAGACTTTTGCTAATTTTACCAACCATTTATTACCTTATTTTAGCCATTTGTTACTTAACTGTGACATTTCTTGCTGTAAACCAGGCATTTGTCATCTTTACCTAGATATTCATTACTTTATCTCAGACATTCGTCACTTTACCTCAGACATTCATTACTTTATCTCAGACATTCATTACTTTATCTCAGACTTTCATTACTTTACCTCAGACATTTGTTACTTTATCTCAGACGTTCATTACTTTATCTCAGTCATTTATTACTTTATCTCAGACATTCGTTACTTTATCTCAGAAGTTCGTTACTTTATCTCATACATTCGTTACTTTATCTCAGACATTCATTACTTTATCTCAGACATTTGTTACTTTATCTCAGACATTCGTTAGTTTATCTCATACATTCGTTACTTTAACTGAGACATTTATTACTTTATCTGAGACATTCATTACTTCAGCTGAGACATTTCTAGCTGTAAACCAGGCATTTTTCACCTTTACCCAGATATTCAATAATCTTATACATTCATTAATTTATCTCATATTACTTATATCTTTTCTTGATATCTTTATCTTTAGACATTCATTGCTTCAACTCAGACCTTTATTTAACGGAGACATTTATTACTTTAACTGAAACAATCATTACTTTAACTGAGACATTCATTACTTTAACTGAGACATTCATTACTTTAACTCAGACATTCCTCACTTTACCATCCATTTGACAAATCTGGCTTAAGTGTATGCAGACTGTTGGTTCCTTGCCTCCGACGCAGATGAATTCTGACTTCAAAGGAAACACCTCTAAACTAGTCACCTTTTATTACATGCGGAGAGAGGGGGGGGGGGGGGTTGGGAGTGGACGAATGCTAAGAATCTCTTATATGTATCTGTCACTTTAACTCCCTCATATGTATTTGTCACTTTAACTCCCTCATATGTATATGTCACTCACTTTAACTCCCTCATATGTATTTGTCACTTTAACTCCCTCATATGTATATGTCACTTTTACTCCCTCATATGTATCTGTCACTTTAATATTCATAAATTTAACATGTGTGATTGTTGCTTTAGCCTAGATATTTGTTACTTTAACCTAGACATTCATAACTTTAACATAGACATTCATTACTGTAACTTACTCATGTGCATCTGTCACTTTATCATTCGTTAATTTAACCTGGAAACTTGTTACTTTATCATAGATATTAGTTACTTCAACATAGACTTTCATAATTTTAACATAGACATTTATTACTTAAGCACAGGCATTGTTACTTTAACACCAATATTCATTACTTTAACTTAAACATTGGTTACTTTAATTCAGTCATTTCTTTTTTGTCTCAAATATTTGTTACTTTAATGCAGACATTCATTACTTTAGCTCAGCCATTTCTTTGTCTAACTCAGATATTTATTACTTTAGCATAGGTTTTAATTTTTATTTTAACTTTAACCCAGAGATTTGTTACTTTAACCCACATTCCTTTTTTAAGTTTATTCTCAGGCAATGTCCTGAATAATACTATGCAAGATGATACATTTATAGTGAAGTTGAGTTAATGTAACATCTGAACGGGGCAGTTCTTCTTAAATTTCCACAAAAATAGAGTTCACATTTATACTAAGAAAGAATTATTGAAATGTCTGGGTAAAGAACTATGGCAAGTAAATTCTCCTTGGAGCAACCAGTAAACCTAAACAGTGTCAAGAGGCTTTAGCATAATACCCTCAGACAAATAAAACTAACAATTTCAAGAAATTGCATTAGTCCTGTGGCAACATAACGGGAATGTGTCTTGGGTCAAAACTGGTCCATAAACAGCAAAAAACTGGCTCAGCCACAGTGAAAGACTGGCTCATTTAAAGCATTTAAATGGCTCATTAAACTACAGAAAACTGGCTCATCCACAGTGAAAGACTGGCTCATTTAAAGCATTTAAATGGCTCATTAAACTACAGAAAACTGGCTCATCCACAGTGAAAGACTGGCTCATTTAAAGCATTTAAATGGCTCATTAAACTACAGAAAACTGGCTCATCCACAGTGAAAGACTGGCTCATTTAAAGCATTTAAATGGCTCATTAAACTACAGAAAACTGGCTCATCCACAGTGAAAGACTGGCTCATTTAAAGCATTTAAATGGCTCATTAAACTACAGAAGACTGGCTCATCCACAGTGAAAAACTAGCTCATTTAAAGCATTTAAATGGCTCATTAAACTACAGAAAACTGGCTCATCCACAGTGAAAGACTGGCACATTTAAAGCATTTAAATGGCTCATTAAACTACAGAAAACTGGCTCATCCACGGTGAAAGACTGGCTCATAAAAAGCATTTAAATGGCTCAATAAACTACAGAAGACTGGCTCATCCACGTGAAAGACTGGCTCATATAAAGCATTTAAATAGCTCATTAAACTACAGAAGACTGGCTCATCCACAGTGAAAGACTGGCTCATTTAAAGCATTTAAATGGCTCATTAAACTACAGAAAACTGGCTCATCCACAGTGAAAGACTGGCTCATTTAAAGCATTTAAATGGCTCATTAAACTACAGAAAACTGGCTCATCCACAGTGAAAGACTGGCTCATAAAAAGCATTTAAATGGCTCATTAAACTACAGAAGACTGGCTCATCCACAGTGAAAGACTGGCTCATATAAAGCATTTAAATGGCTCATTAAACTACAGAAGACTGGCTCATCCACAGTGAAAGACTGGCTCATATAAAGCATTTAAATGGCTCATTAAACTACAGAAAACTGGCTCATAAATAACAGAACCCTGGCCCATAAACAGCAGAAAAATGGCTCATAAAACAGCACTGCGACTAAGAAACTGGAAAGTCTTGGACATATTAATTGTAATTTTGATTTGGAAAGCACAGTAATAGAAGACAGGGTTCCTTGCAAAGAGAAACATTGGTCAGCTGTCACGATAGACACAGGATGATAAATATGTTGCTTATCTCTGAAGTCGACAACTCTGGATTATGGGTTACCAGCAAAGTTTATAACTCAGATATAACCAGCTATATTCCAGCTGTGAGTGAATGGGCAGCAGACTGCTTTGCACTAATTTAGACAATGGCATGGGGTGCCACCCTTTTTGGGGGTGATTACAAAAT